GGGGGGAAGGAAGGAGGAGAAGAAGAAGCAGAAGCAGCAGCAGCCCTCAACTGACAGCAGTTTAGTACTCCTTGGTTGTTTCCTTTCATTTCATCTGAAGCTCAGGTTTTGGCATGAATAGGCAGCAGCTTTCTACAATTGCAAATCAGGAGAAGCTATGGAAAATTCCAGGTCTGTCGACACCTGTACTCCTCCCCCTCTGGCATGCCTTCTGATTCCGTGTGCAGTTATCTTTGTGTCCCTGTCTGGACAGTCCCCTACAGAATGCCAAGGCCCCAGTAACTTCTTTGGACTTAGCCTCCTGTCCTTTTCTCACTAAAATAACCCAAGTTGAAGAGCATTCACTTGTTTACTTCTTCTATCTGCCTCAGTCACATATATCCACACCCCTGTAGATGACATAGTCACATTCTCACATATTACTTAAACTTGGAGTGGATGATTAGGTGGTGGCAGCTGCTGTCTGGGAGGCGCTGTGGGGGTAGAGGTAAGAGGCACATAATGGGAATGTGAAGACTTTAGCTCTACCTTGAATTTACTATGTGAATGGGCCCAAGTGATAAACTTCTTCATGCCTCAGTTATCTCAACTACTGGGAAATGTTTGGCTTGGACTATATAACCTCTTGAGCCACTCTAGCTATAAAATGCTCTAACTCAGTATTATGAAAGCCCATGTTCAAGTCCTTGAAAACTGAATGGGTCATACTTATTTCTATTTATAATCTGTTTTTTATTTTTGCACTCAATGCTCCATAGAGAAATGTAGATTCCTATTCTAAATTCTTCTAGTCAACAAAAGAAAAGCTCTGTTTTAGTTTGTTTGACAGGGAAATGTTTATAACTAGATTGAGTTTCCTATATTTATATTTGCTTTGCCTTCTTCCATCTTTGCCTAAAAAAGGAATTTCTAAAAAACCAGAAATGCTTTCTGTACTCAGCAGAGCAGGAAAGAGGCTGCCTTGGCTGGAGGAAGAAGAAGATGGTGAGAGTCTCAAGCCCCAGTGGAGCAGGACTATTTGCCATCTGCTGCACTAGTTGCCTCGTCTCCAAATCAGGCCTGGTCTGTAGTTTGCTGCAAATATTAGGATCCGGGCCACACTAGTACTTCCCACCCATGGCAAGCCTTGAACCCTTTGTACTGTGGCTGCCAAGATGATGTGAAGGCAGGGGGCCATTTTCCAGCTTGGGGGGGGACCACGTGCATTAAATGGGAATAGATTCTTCTCCTTTCCTCTTATCATCCTCAACCATTTTAAAAGCTTTAGAACCTAAAAAAAAAAATAAAAAAATAAAAGCTTTAGAACTTAAAAAAAAAAAAAAAAGAGAGCTGCCCCAAACAAAGCTAAGGAAGATGATGGGATTGTCAGACTTTCCCCACCTCACCGATGCAGGACAGAATGGTTTATTAATGATCCATGGGAAAAGAACAATTGTCCTGCTGGCAGCTTCACATGTAATTAACCAGCTTCACAGAGAGCTGGCTGCCTTCTTCAAGTCTAGCATCTGCAGAGCTACCTGACAAAGCAACACTGGGTTTCTAGCGAAATCTCCCTACTGGGAGAAGGACATCCAAAATAGTGACCTCAATCCACTGGGCCCTCAGAAAACATGATAGAGATGGCAGTGCTCCTCTGGAGAGGCCTGGCTGTGTGCTCAGGCTGACACAAAAGACTGCGGCTCCTCTGATGGCAACAACCAGCTCTGGTAACCAGCATTCCCACTAATCATCATTATGGGCACACTCAGGTAAGTAGTTGAGAAGAGTTATCTTCCAGGGGCCTTCAGATACCACTTCTTTGCTGCAACTCTACACAGGCAAAAGTCTCTGGGAATTGTTTTGCTTTGTACCCAGGCAACAAACTTCAGTACTGATGGAAGGGCTGAGAGGGCTTAATGACCATGCTGGGCATGGTGGACAATAGTTGCTTCTGTGGAAGAAGCCACAAAATTTAGATTATGATGCATAAAAGAGAAGGAAAGCTGGGTTAGTCAAGCTCTGGCTTCACAGTCAGTGCTAACTTCCCCTTTAAGATTCAAAGACCCCGGGTCATCTCACCAGGTAGTTACCATTCACAATGCAGAATTTAAAAATGAGCAATTTAGTATGTGGCAGCTGAAATGGCATATTCAAAATGTATACCTCATCACCTTTCCCAAGTGATAGTCAGAAGGGATTCCCAGTAAGGATGAATAGCATGCACATATTCACATTCTTCTGTGCTTGTTTCTAGGGTAGAGAGAGAAACTGATAATAACAGTCTTCCATGCTTCATGCCCCCCTCCTCCAAGATAGGAGCCCCTCAGCACAAGAACACTTTCTTCAGGCCCCAGCCCCACCCAGCCCCAACCCTGGCATCTCACATTCCCCCAGGGTGAACCAGTTACTACTGGAAAGCTAGAGAGGAATGACAAATCTTTGCATGTTCAGCAAAAATGGAGCCAGTTCACAGGGGTCATGCATGGTCTTTTCATTCACCACACTAAATTTACTGTGGAAAAACAGATAATAAAGGGGTAGGGGATGTTGCTGGATGACAGAGCAATGTCAGTCAGCTAGTGCTACTCTGCCTCTTTATATCACAGCACAGTTGGTGAACCCCTCAGATAAGCCACAGAGCCAAAGAACAGGCTCTACAGCAATTTTTTTGTTCATTACTCACCATCTCCTTTCCTTCCAACTTTGATTACAAGAGCCAAACCCAGTAGTTCTCTCATTTCTTTTAAAGTAGTGTGGAAATAGGAGCAATCCCAATTACAGATCAGCAACCTAACAGGCAAGAGAGGTCACTGGTGGCTTGGTAGGAAATGGATAGCTCATGATAAATGAATTGGTATGGCCTGCCATTTTTCCTTGCCGTCACTTTAATCAATAAGGGAAAAGGTGAATTGCTATTGATCTCTTCAACACCTCTGAACGATACTGTACAAATTACAGAAACACAAGGGGGTGGGAGAAAGAATAAAAAGAGGAAGGACAGGTGAAAGAAAGTCTGGGCTGTGTGAGGCTGCTGTATTTCCCTGGAGGTGGTCACCTTCTGGTCACTGGGTATCAGGCACGCTTGGGTGCCCTTGAGAGAATGTGTCATGAAGTGCCTTTCCCCATACCTGCAAGGGCAGGCCGTGGAGAGCATCTCAATGCCTCCATTTGCACTGCACAGGTCATGATACTTCATCAGGGCTACAGGACATGAGAAGCCATAGGGCTGGCTGCCTTGAGGCATGGCTAGGAGCCTGTGTTGCAATGTGCTAGGAATTCCAGGGCTCTGTGAGTTTCTGAAGTTGCCATCTTTTAGGGCTGTTGGGCTGTGATATCTCAATCACTGACTATAATTCTGGATGGAAAACCAAGAATTAGAAGTTTCAAGGGCAGTATCTAGTGACACTTTACCCTACTCCTGAGTCACATGCCAAGAAAATATAAGGCAAAACGATCTTGCATCATACTTGATAATAAAAAAGCTCATGGCTTCAGTCCTGTTTTCTGAAAGATCCCAGGCTGAAAAGGAATGAAGATTAGAGGCCTTGGTCAAAATACTAGAGGTCTGGTCTCAATCCTAGGCCCAAAGGGAGACTGACTAGAGTGAGACAAGAAGACAAACCTTATGCAAATATGGTCTCATATAGACAAGACAACCAGGAAATAGGACAGTGTTAGGATAACCCACAACAGGAAGACACAACGTTTAATGACTGATTATCATTTTCAACTCAGGGTTTGGTCCAAACAGTTGGCTACAGGAAAACTGAGAGGACACCTCAGTCTTCTAGACAGAACAAATTATGCTTATCAGAACTCAGCCAGTACTCTGCTCATGTCAGGAAAAAGGCAGTACACAGATATTAAGGCAAAGAGGCGGGGAACAGTGCCAAAGTTGAGCCCAATGGGGTAAAGAGTGATCATGTTTCAGGGCCCCAGACCAATAGTTCTCTGACTCCATTAATTGAGCCTAAGTATTCAGAACCTGGTGAGAAAAAAACAAAACAAAACAAAAAACAAACAAAAAAAACATATATGTGCCTCAAGGTCACACAAGATCCCTCAGTGCATGATGTGGTGCCTCAGGACCTCCCCACCTTATCTGAGTATTCACCTTTGAGCATTCTCAAGGCAGAAGAGGGCTTTAAAAGAATCCCCATTTTGCAGATGGTGAAACGAAGGCAAGTAGTCACATATCAGATACAAAACAGAATCCAGCCTTAAAAACTGGCATGTGAAAACAGCAAGAGCCCTTTAGGATGCTCCTGGCACTCTTGCTTAGAGGATTCTCCAGAGACCATGACTCAGGGTGTAACTGTATAATTCTGGAATCAGTGATACCACAGTTCGCCAGTATCCCCACCTTCCTCCCACAAATACCTGAAGGGCCAAAAACAGAGCAAAATAAAATGTAAGTTATAAAGCTGCTGATGTGTTGAGAGTGGAAGTGCTGAGATTAGAAGGAGGAAGTACTTAAGTGCACCCTGGGCATTTGGAAACGACCACGTCTGCAGCCCTGGAAGCTGATGGAGAGCTCTGGCTCTCTCTGCCAGGCAGGCTGCTGGCCCTTCACTCACGAGGTGGGGCACATGGCTGGGGGAGGAGGGTATGACGATAAGAAACAACTATTTAGAAAATACCAGTCCCCTCCTACAAGGAATCTTCCAATTCCAAAAGTGACCCTATTCTAAAATTACCAAGTGGCAGGTGGCCAGGCCAAAAAAATCCATATCCAATCAGTGGTAATGGACTATTTGTTGCATTTCCTCATATAAGGTTGCAGCACTACTATAAAATCCCTGGGTCAGTGGTTTTAGAGTTATTTAACTGGGGAGGCAACAGCACCCAGGCACTGCAAGCTCTGTAGAGACCTGTGAAGTGAAGTAGCAGGTATAGCTCTCTGGAAAGGAATGAGGAACCTGTTGGTTGTAGCTGCATGACCTTCAATCTCTAGCTGTACAACCAATGCCAAGTTCCTTTTCTGGTAACCACTAAAAGGAACTCTACTGCCTCAAGAGAAGGGAAAGGGAGACGCAAAAGGTATCACTCTAACCTGCGAAGAGCAGGACATAGTGAAGCAGCTTCCAGCTCCACCTTTCATTCCTGGTTTAATGGAGAGTTCTTCCTCCTGCAGCAACTGTTCCTAACAATTCCACTTGGGGTTCTCTTCCTGTCCCTTTCCGTCCTGGTTAACACCTAGATCTTTCTTTAGGGCTCCTGCTGGCACTGCTAGCTTCCAACTCTTCCAATGTAATGCAGATCAAGGGTAAGCATATGGCAATTTTAGACTACTGTGGCTGTGGGAGGGAAGGATGGGACAAAAAGAGCACTGCAACTCCATCAAGAGAACAAGGAGGTCTGGGCTAGACATCCTGCAGCCCTCATTTTCAAGGTGTAGCAACACTGGGAAAAAGTAAGGGTAGAAGTCCTGTGTAAATGCACAGAAAGCCCCCATGGTAAAGGCACTCTAGTCACTATTTCTTAGACACAGATACATAAGAGGTGACTGTGGACTCCTGGTTCCCCCCTCTTGTGGTGATGGTTGGCCTTATCAGTCCACAGTCAAGTCTAGAAAAGACTCCTTAAAGGTTAGGACTCTTGGTTATTACCTCCGGACCTTTACTCTTCCAATGAATGTGATGCTGTGCAGAAAGAAATGGTTTCAATGTGTAGGACCACAAGGATCGCAGGCAATGAGACCCTGTGCTTTCTTACTTCACAGAGAAAAGACTGGCTGATGCCTGAAGGTACTTACACAAACACTTTTGGAATTTAGACCAAGGACAACAAATGGATTTCTGTGCAGGTGCTAAATCCATTCAACTGGTCATAGCTTTGAGTATTCCCTGAGTCCCAATAAAAGCAGTGCTGTGGCCTACAGCAGTGTCTAAAGTGGAAATAGTACTTGATGAAGAGCTGGGGGAGCATACTCTTTGTCATTACAGGCTTAAAAAGGCAGGTTCAAGGATGGGTGATGGAGAGGACCGTACCTTATTCTTTGTTGATTCTAATAAAATGCTGTTCACAGCACACACACTTATATCCAGCCTACCACCCTCCTCTGGATATAGTGTTTTGTTAATGTTGAAGTTTGAATCCTATTTTAGAAGAATCATTAGAGAACTTATTTCAATAATAAAAATGATGCTGCAAGCTGCTATGCATGAGTGTTTCGTATCTACCAGGTACCGTGGTAAGCATTTACATCTATTCTTTACTTTCACAACCACCCCCTCAGAGAAGGTGCCTTCTTTACATAGGTGAAGCAATTAGGTGTTGCAGGACTAATGCACTGCACAACACTAGGGACACTATTCCTGCCCTAGGTTTAGAGAGGATGAGGAACAAGTCCATAAGTAAGGCTGGAATGGAATCCAGGACTTACTCACCACGTTATTAGGAGTTTCTGTTAAATGACCAAGAAGGAAAAGATGCCCTTAAATGTTCTGAAGATGAGCTGTCCTTTCTGACAATCTGACATGTTGTTTGGGCCAGGTTAGGGTATCTCTGCTGTTAATTCTCAGGCTTGCTCATAATCTTATTTCATGCATCAAAGCATTTCATAACAGACCATTGGTCACTTTCATTTTCAAAATCCATTTACGTTCAGCTGACCAGAAACTGTCACGGGTGGAGTAGCAAGTGGGAAGTTCATCAATAAAGCTGGGTTAGGAATGCAGAGGTTCTCAAGTCCTTGGCAACAGACACAGGAGTGGGCATGCTAACAGCAAGAAAAAGGCAGAATCAAGGTCAGCTCATCCACCGGAACAGTCACTCTTGTGTCCTTGGGGGAGTCACATGTGGAGCACCAGAATGTTAGTCCTACCTGGAGAGCAGACACAGTCTACAATCTGCTTATTCTTTGCTGGTGGCTCAGGCAGCCTTGCTATTGTATTATGAGCTGTGTTCTAAAAAGCTATCAATTGAATTATATAATACCAAGGGGGAAATTCAGGCAGTGGGAGTGGCTTGGAATGTTTGGAACAAACAGAACAGGGAGGTGCAAGGCCTGAAGAGACTCCAGACACACCAGCATGAAAGCTCACATTCAAGTCTTCATGGGTACTGGCCTGTGTATTGGGGTCCTGAGTGAAGCTCTTCTGAAAACAGGCAGTGGGCATGTATGTATGAGGTCATCTGTAGTTTATAAAGAAAACACCTGCTTGTGAGAAGAAATTAAATGCAACAGAGATCTGTTTTTCAAACCAGGCTTTCAGAAGGAAGGGCACAGACTATATAATATGGTATGAAATATTTCACCTGAAAAACTTCAAGCTACTTTCCCCTTCAGCTCTTTATTATTATATTAAGAATATTCACTCTCTCCAAACCCT